TCGTGTGTGTGTGTGTGTGTGTGTTAGTGTGTGTGTTTGTGTTTGTGTTTGTGTTTGTGTTTGTGTGTATATATGTGTATGTGTGTGTGTGTGTGTATTATATGCGTGTATTCCTATCTATGCATTGCATCGTTACTGATTTGAATTCTGTCATTACACATGTCTGTTTACGACTGGAGCTTCATCCACAAGCATACTTGCAAGTTCATATCGCATCTTTATTCACATATCTGACAAATATTTTGATCTCAGCGCACATGGTTCTGTATTCGTCTGGCCATACTTCTGTAACATAGCTACATAATCTCACTAAGAATTGTGTACACATAAACTTTAATATGTTTAGTAGGAAAGAAGAACAACGGACGGGATTGACTTGCATCTATTGTTGATCTTTTAGCACGTGCCTTCGTATATACGTTTGTGTACGCCATGCGTATGCATGTCAAGTAGATGGAATGCTGACTTGTTTGCTGTTGCACTTCATAGCGAGATATGGCGGTTGTCTATTTATTCTCAAGTGTACGGCCTGCGTTTGGTTATGCTAAATTATACAGTACTATGTATGTATACAACCAATCTGCCTCCCGTGCTTGTACTAAATACATCATTCCCTTTTATGTACATTCAACGTCTGATTGCATACGAGGTTGCAGCCTTTACAGTATCGCCATCAGCTACACACTCAGAAGCAAATGAATGCACGCGATATTCCCAATGGCGTCAGTCTGTGAACCCATCGACGTCTCTCATAGTGAGCGTATTAGCTATCGATCGCAGCTGTTGGCGAGCTTGTCTGGATTCATTACTATGCCAAACGCTACTACATAGTGCCCAAGATTGTGCTTTGAAACGAAGGAAGATATATATCATTTACACCAGATATGTCTTCAGGTGAGTCCACGTCAGTAGGCGCTCTTCGATGCCAAAACAATGTAATTCACTTCCTATTCTATTACCCCCTCACAGATATGCATCCACGAGTGTTCTTTCCCGTGTTGTGCCAGTTACATTGTCCTACGACAAATATGTGAACGAAGGGGTGCTGAAAATGCACCATAAATCTCCACATAGCCGGACAAGTCACTTACACAGTAGCGGTACTGATAAAGAACCAATACGCACCCCCAAGTGTCCTCCTTTGGTGATAGTGCACGGATTGTTTGGTGCCAAAGTGAATTGGCGTGCCCTGGCGAAGAGGTTCGCCAGGGATGTGCACAGGGACGTCTACACTGTCGGTATGATATCTATACTGTATTAGCACTTGACTTTTGCACATTTGTTCGAGTTTGACAATTTCGGCCATCTACATATCCTACAATTCCTACCCATGATATGTTAGGTGTGCCAAACTCATTGTAGATTTCATGTACATACCAATATCCCAAACCCCCTCCAGACGTCCGTAACCACGGCAACAGCCCCCACAAACCGCTGCATACCTACTCGGCGATGGTTGCTGATCTCAAGGCGTTGTTGCTGGACTTGCACATACCGAAGGCTTCCTTCCTCGGTCATAGTATGGTACATTTTGGTTGACTGTTGTCATCGATCCCGCGTGTCGTGGCCATGACTATTTATGCTTATTCTACTCAGTTACTTAGCATTTGCAAACGAATTTGTCTGAGGTCCCATGTTTATCTCTAATCGTTATGCAGCTGGCTTCTCCTATTGGGCAGGGTATTGGTCTTCAGTGCTTATGTATACGCCTCTGTTATTCCACAGAGATTTCATTGAACCAAAAATTCAGCCTGGTCAATACCTGTAGTGAATGGTGGTCTGCATTTGAGATCTTATCGGGGCATCTCATCAAGTGCACCCTTTTGCCTCTTTAGGGGGGGAAGGTGGTGATGGCACTCGCTCTCTCTGAGCCGGAACTTGTCGACCGGTTAGTTGTAGAAGACGCGGCACCTGTCAATTACGGCCGAATCACAGAGGTGAATGTAAGTGGGTATGTGCGACTGTCTGTGCTACCCTGGCCTACGAAGTAGGTCTTGATGACAGGTTTTCCCTTCTTGTGCCATCAGCTGTTAATGTGTGGAGCTCCTTATAACACTCCGAGCGTCGGCATATCGCGATACCATACAGTGCATACAGAAACCAGCATGTTTGTCTGCGAATCTTTTGTGGCCGTGACGAACGCTCATAGCTACACCGATGGGGACCAGCAGTTATACTGGCTGGGATTTGCTAACGTCTTATGAATGACCTGTCAAGTATAATCGACGGACTCTGACATTCAGGCACATCTCTGCACTGTCGACTAAGGACGTTTTGATCACTTTTTCGATCACTTCTCCCACAGAAACACTTTGAAGCAATGCAGAAATTAGACCTTTCACAAATACGAAACCGAAACGATGCATACATGATGTTGAGCGGTCTCTTGAAAGGGTAAGGCAATTGGTAGAACTTTTTGCGTGAAAAGTCGGTTTCGACTCAATTCGAATATGCCTTTCAAACTCACCGTCAACAAGAACTCGATCCACGATATTACCACGAACCCATATTTACAAACACACAGCGTTGAAGAAGACGAAGCAGTTCTGAGGTATCTGTCAAGCAATGTGGTGCGTACGGACAAGGGCGCCTACAAATGGAGGTGCAATGTGAACCACATAGGTCAGCACATAGATGATATATTCGACTTTCCAGATTTCACAGGTGAGTATCATACAATCTGGTCGGCCTGGTCTTGTTCGTCAACACATCCCCGTTTGTGGTGGAAGACCCGTTGTATTCTGCACGGTCTCAAAAACGGTTATCTACCAAGCACTCTACTAAGTATGGCTTAGGTTCCACTTCGGCGCAGGACGCAATTAGTGCAGCATGTGTAAAATTCTGCAAGGATGAATGCTCGGATGGTGGACACTGACTATACGTATTGCTTACTTATCTGACAATCACTAGATCCATTCCGCGGCCGCACACTTTTCTTAAAAGGCACACAATCGGAGGCGGTGCGATTCCAGTAAGTATGGATGTAGCGATGAGTGTGTGGTTACGTGTTCAGTGCCCTGTGTTTGTTGGATGCGATAACTCTATACGCAAGATGACTACTCTGTATGTACGTGATGTTCACGTGTGCGTACTGATAGCCCTGTCACCATTGATTTGATGCATATACATTAATGCAATACGCACACCCGGAAGAAAAACACTATCTGCTTTGTATCTCAAATGCTATAACACCTTCCTTTTGGCGGTAGGGATATGGACCGATTGTACAGTCTGTTCCCCTCCGCTACGGTTGAGGAGATGGAGACGGGTCACTGGGTGCACGTGGACGATCCGAATGGGTTTATGAAACACGTAGAAAAATTCTTGACTGCCGAGTAATGCACGTCTTGCATTAGTGTATCGACATCGCAAATGTGCTGCCAAAGCTTAGAAGGATAATTCAAAACACTCATAGCTTCCCTCGTGGTTTACTGTTACCAAGGCTGTAACTTCAGCTGGGTCCCACAAGGCACTATGGTATGGTGGTGGCGATGCAGCGCATGCTGATATCCTGAACAGGATTCTATTGATCTGTAGAATACTATGGTAGTACAAGGCGTTGCTACCCTGGACCGACCCGTGCTTTCATTTCGAGAATACTTTATTTGGTCGTGAGAGGTACTCAATTCAAACGTAACGCACTCGAAACTACATTCCAAAAGTTCAACCTAGTTAATTGGACCTGAAACTCGATTCTGCCAATTTGGATACTGGTCTTCTCTCCACTATAATGTTCCCAGGCATGAGGTGTACGGCGAGAAAGGCATAAATTGCGACGTGGACAGAAGCTTTTTCATCCTGATTCCGCAGCCTGACTCCATGGATCTCATATGGATTCGCCCGGGGTCTGAAACTGAAAAGGGTTATAGAGCGCATAGAATAGAACGATGCCACCAAATCAACAGCACTCACTTATGACAGTAAAGCGAGCACTAAACAAACCAATGTGTGTATATTTAAACATGTATGTATGCATACTACAATGACAATAAATAAATACACAATCATACTCTGGTGTATATGTAATACATAACCCAGTCCAAATTTGGTAATTTTGTATTTGGCTGGCTCAAGCTATGAGGGTTCAAACTTAAGAGTGTTTAGGCTTAGCGTTCAGACTTTTCAAGTTCAAGTTCAGTCTGTTCAGAACTTCAGCGTGTCTTAAATAGACTCTTAGGTCTCTTGGTTCAGAGTGACTCAGACATCAGTCTGTATTAGAAGTCTGCGATAACAATCAATTCTAAACATTACGTGCTGAGCCAACTTACTGTTTAATTAGCAGTCGTGTGTGACTGTGTGGTTGGTTGTACAGTGTCCGTAATACAGCTGCCTACGTAGCCGCAGCAACGTACGCACCGCAAGATGGCGGCCTGGAAGCATGAAGATCTCAGCATCATGTATCTGATGCTGAGCAAGTTCCACCCCGAAGTCGGACGCGTGCATCAGATAGACATTGCTGACATACCCAGCACGTTCCCGGAGGGGTGGAAACAGTATCTGTCTGCCTTTCGTGTACCGTATCAAGAGTTTGTGCTCGCTCAGCTTGTGCAGCGATGTGAGTATATGCGCTTAGTGTATCACACGGTGCAGGACTTTGACATCATTAGTAGCACCACCAAATCGGTTGTGCCGTCTATATGGGACGACAACGACAGAGTGGAAGCCGATTATAACGCTGTGAGAGTGGTATTTAAAGAGGAGTTTAAGGTATTTCAGAAGGAGTCTCTGTGCTTAGCCACAGTAACACGCCCCAGTCCAGAAGAAAGACTGGAGTGGGGAAACATGCGCTATTAATCGTCACCAATGTTAGAGCTGACAGGGTGCGACCCGACGCTGGCAGGCAGCCCAATGTTAGACAACAGTCCAGGATTATCTACTGTTACGAGGCTATGGCATGGAATTTGAGTGGAAAAGGCCTGGAAGGTATGTACTTCGGATATGTTTATGATCCACAACAGACTATCGTGCAAAGCCTGATTGCTAGACTACTAGTACTCGTGGATTTATATGATGTTGAACTGCGTTTCCGTTCCGATACAGTGTGTGTATCATTTCTGTACCCTTCAATCCTTGATTGTGTGTGCATGCGTGTTTATGGCCTTGTACGACTATGTGAATGTGGTCGTATATGTGCTATTTGCTGTGTTGGGGAACATGGATATGTTTGTGCTTCTTGGTAGTTATACTTGTGCAAGGTTTATATGTGAAGTTTACTGTGATTAAGAAAGAGATACTATTCAGTAATCTTCATTTCTATTTCTATATATTGTGTCGGGTGATTTAGCTATTAATCTAGTTTCCGTTTCAAGTTCGCGGTAAGAACTAAACATACACATAAGGTTATTAAGACAAATAGTTTAGGAGAGCCTGCCTGTACATGTAGCCATCGGTTGAGAACTGTAAATTTAAATTTGGATGATAGGTGAGCTGTTATTTGCCAAGCTATCGTCAACCAAAGCTCACAAGACGCCCAATCGATACCGTTTGTATGTGCACATGTAGATATGCGAAAACGTTCAGACAATCATTTGCATGCAAAACGTGCACATCACGCGATATCATGTTTTTAAGGCTTTACCACTACGATCGAAATTTTGTAGAGAACTTCTGTAATGGACACGAGAGCAAAGATGTCCTATGCGTGCTTAGAATAGTTCCCGTGCTGTATATACAGCACTGGATTGTGTTTGAAATGACCCTAAGGGCTAACACCTATTTTAATGCTTGACTCTTTGTCACCAAGCACCGGTTTCGTCAGATTATATGTTTGAACAAATTACAAGGTGTATTCTATGCTTTTTACCCAATGCCTTTGTCCCTGAACATTGACTCTCCAAAGCTATCAATTTTGAATACGAACTTGTTCGAACTTGTGATCAACTTGTGATCGTCCCCATACAGAATATTCACTTGCACATGATATTCCCAGTCTGCCTGCATCACCCCCAGCAACTATTCTGAGTAGTATCTCGAATCACCCTTCTATGCCAGGCGATTGCGTCATAGCGAATGTCGATTATGTTGCGCCAGCCGGACGAGTCCTGAATTCGCTCAAGTACGATGAATCCAAAGAACAGGTTCAGCAGCCGTTGCAGGATATCATCTTGATGGGGACACCACCACAGCCACTGAAGCCACCAACCCCAGCAAGAGAATCCGAAAGTGCCAAAGGCCTTGAACGGGCGCTGAGCGCGCTCTATGCGGGGTTTAACGACAAGCAAACCGCAATCGTACACAAAGCTATGTTCAGCTGTGCTAGAGGGCCGAGTGTTTCGCTGGTGAATGGCCCACCCGGGACTGGTAAGACTATGATGTTGGCGTCTTTGGTACTCGTACTGGCCATGTCGAATCCTGACAAGAACATCCTGGTCACGGCACCAAGCACGTCAGCATTACAATCCATCACATTAGAACTCTTCAAGCGCTTAACTCAGCTGCTGATAGATGTGCCCTTGTTTAAGAAGAATATAGTTTACCACAACGTTACGTACTTCAGTACAAGTCATGCCTACCAGAAGCTAGCGGAGGAGATCCAACCTTACACGGATAGACAGAGAACGCTAACTTTCACGAACAAGTTACATTCCCTGTGCAAGGAGACAGAGCAGTCTATCAGAGATGCAGCTGCGTACGCGCGCGACCGAAATTTGCCAGAGAGCTCAAAACGAGAGTGCCGAGTCGCTGCTTGAAGAAAGTCATCGGCGAATGGAAGGCCTACGTGGCTGTCAATGTACAAGGGAGTTTTGCTCTCTTCGCGGAAGTGTATGACAAATATGTTATGTATACAATGAGAGATTTATTTGAGATGAAAGTCGACCATTTGAACACCACTCAGGCGGGTGATACCCTGTACGCCGCCATGGTGGAAAAACCCATGTTCATCTATAAAGCCATATCCGCGAAGAAAGCTGAAATTGGTGACAAATTCCTACCACAATTCGTTAAGAGCGTTATAGACAAGCACACACGTGTGCACGTGGCGGTGGCAACACACGCCATGAAACACGATGTTGCATCCCGAGCGTGCGAGATAGTGGTGATCGACGAGGCTGCTCAATTGCTAGAAGCACAGTTAGTGGGGCTGATAGATGCGAGTGTAGGACACCTTATGTTGTGTGGAGATCCGAAACAGTTGAAGACATATGTCGTCAGCAATGAACTGGTTGGAGCGCACCTCGATCGGAGTTTATTTAAGCGGCTAGTGGATACACTAGGCTATGAGACGGCTACGCTAGACACCCAGTATCGCATGCATCCGCTGGTTAGCAGGTTTATGAACAGGCGCTTCTACGGAGGCCACCTGGTGGACAGCGAAAAAATACTGCAGGCCACGTCAGCCCAGAACACGGTGAGTTGGCACAAGGAAGAAGGGTTTGGCCCTCTGATGTACTATGCCCATCAGGATTCGGAGCGAGAGGAAGATTACAAGGGCAATATGTTCAACATGAATGAGGCCAAACCGATTATGTGGCGCGTGTTCCGCTTCCTGAACCGATTCCCCACTGTACAGCCGAATACCACTACTAGCACACCCCCGAGAAAGGCCGATAGTTCAGCGGTGGTATGCACACGGCAGCCGAGTGTGGGCATCGTGTGCCTGTTTGAGAATCAGAAACAAGTGTTGCTGCGTATGGCGGAGTCACTGTTGGGAGGATATAGGAAACAAGTGACGGTGGGGACAGCAATGGACTTCCAGGGCCAAGAACCTGATGTCATCCTGGTGTCACTGACCGCCACAGGCAATGCCACCAAGCTTCTGCGGCAACACGACACCATGACTATCATTACGCGTGCCGTGCATTCGCTGTGGGTGTTTGGGGATGAACGGTTGAAATATCAGCATGCGGACGATAATGTATTTATGAAAGCGCAGGATCAAGACACTGCCCTGGAACTTTCGGTGTGGGGCGAGCTTACAGAGTTCTGCAAGGAAGAAGCGGCTGCCAAGTACGTAGAAAAGGGCATTGACACACTCACCGAGCGCGCGTTGAAGGCCAACCATGTAGACGAGAAGTTCCTTAAGGCACTGACCAATTACGAACCGTCCAAGCAAGTGGTGGCAATGCCCCTCTCGTGGGTTGAGGGCAGTGTGAAAGAACTCAAGAACGCCATCCTACTGCGGAGTGAGGGAGATATCTGAACGATATGGGCGGAACCGAATCTGTTCCCGGCTTTGAAAGCCGCGAAAGAGTATGTGCCGATGTTGTTCGTATACACAGAAACGTAAATGATATTGCCTGTTTCCTTATTTTCGTCAAATGCCAGTGTCTCCTTCTTGCTCAATGTAAGTCAGTTTTCGTTTTTACGAAGAAGTTGAGGGATATCGTGTTGCTGCTCACAGTGCTCATAGTATTATCTTGGCGAACATACAAGGGTTTGCGCTAGATATTGAATTACACAAAAAAAAATCTGAGCTCGCTCCAGATCAATTTCTTACAGCTGCTTACCACCTAGTTGCACCACGGCAACCCAACACGTCCGCCAGTCCGATAAGCTCGCCCTAAAAGTAGCTTGTCACAAAACCTGTACCAAAACTGAGGACTTACTGCTATGTTCTTGCAGCCCGTCTCACATTCTTGCCCTATACCCTATACAGAACGAGAATCTCGCTTTTGCGAGCGATTGGTGAACTCAAACGAGGGTTAATCGCAAAGCGAAGCCAGCGCAAATACATCAAAAAAGGGCTGGCAGGACAAGTCTTTCGCTCGATAGAGGTTGCAAGCTACTGTTTGGTGTGGCATATCGAGGTTAACTACTCCAAGAAGGTAGGCGCAGTTTGTGTGTTCATAAGAGCTTGATGTAGCAACTGGGAGGTTCGTGCAGATGTTTTTTACTAATGCAACTGGAGGGCCAGGGGACGTACACCGCGCGAGTACTCAAGCGCATTAACGCTGTGTATCAGAGTTAAGGTTCCGTTGTATTAATAGTAGTGAGTCGCTTCTCGATACCCCATGTTTTGAAATGAGTTGTCGCGGAACATGTGCCGCTCTGTAGAACTTTTACTCTATTGTTGCATCATAGTATTGAGTCGATTTGGCTCCTCTATTGAAAAATCACGTACCACCTATTTGGCGATTGATTTCAATTTATTTCTTGATAAATTGCATCAGTCAAACAAGCAGATCATCAAATTGGATGCCATCATGCTGAAGGGTGAGCTCGGACATTACTTCCCACTCGTTGAAAAGCGTATAGAGAACATGATGCGTATTATAAGATTGTAAACATACTCAAGGATGAGGATGAAAACCAGAAAGACGTCATCTTTCCAAGGCACGACATCGATAATTTGGAAAAAGATGTATTCAAAAGCCAGGCAGAACCGAGTCGGCAGTACGAATTTACCAATGACGTGATCAATTTCTTAGAGGACGACAAGGTAGGGGTGATGTGGAGGTCCTCTACTTTACGTTCACTTAAAACATGCTCTCGTTTTAGAAAATATAGCAAAATTATATTACTGTGAGTATATAGTAAGTTTACAACCAAATATATGTGGATATTCGTAGGTGTGTTCGTACAAATATCTACACGTGTGCATAAAAGATCTTTGTATACTGATGAACCTGCATACTTACGGACTTATATATCATCTAGACGATTTGTGTGATATATGCCATATGTGAACATCTTCATGATGGGGAGTTGATGAGCGGAAGATTGAATTTTCTGTATCTCGCTCACAGAAATTTGAGATAGGTTCTGCACGGCCTGATGAGCAGTCCTTCTACTCGTCACAGTATATCTTACTAGACGCTTCTAATGGCATCTTGGATACGCTGGTTGCTGCTATTCGTGAACGTTCCTGGCTTGCGGGTGTATCGCTGGCTCAATCTTACCCTGCAGTCGGACTTTTCCTGTGCAGGCCGATGAAAAGGACATGTTGCAGTATCTGCCTTACATGCTAGATGAAACCCAAAAAGAAGCCGTCGTTGCGAAAGGCTCGACGGTCCTGGTGGGTCGCTCGGGTACAGGAAGACCCACGGTTTTCGCTAGCAGACTCTTCTCTACGTACTCTCAGTATGTCAAGCTCGGAACTGTGCCTCCGCCTGCAATGTTCACGAGCCATAGCGGTACATTGGTTGAACAGGTTCGCATCGAGTATGAGAATCGAGTCAGAGCGTGTACCATTGCAGCCCCGGCGATCCCACCGTCTGAATTGGTATGTGCTCGTAAGGATCTGACAAGCACATAAAGGGCAGTATGGACGTGACGATACGCATTTATTGATGTAGCGATCACAGTGTCCTTTTTTTCGAGCGTTTCCCAGACCGCCTATATTCCGTCAAGTACTCGAATCACTAGTCCAGAACATCTTCAACAGAGCGCGTTCAACTCTGTATTGTGTCGTCGCCGTTCTGTTATCTTGTCACAACGTTAAGCGAAGTATTTTTAAATCAGTCGGCAGTTCTGAATCCTTGTTTTTTATCTCATAAATTTGTCCATAAAATATGCGTCTATCGATTCGCAGCCGGCTGTCAGGTCCTTTCTCTCGGGTCAAACGTGTACTGTTCTTGTCCGCGTTCGAACTATTTGAAAAGTTGGACGATGTCTTGCCAGAGATTGAGGGCGAGAAAAAGCTGTTGCATCAACTGGAGAAAAAAGATAAGGACGACGCATTGGACACCTTGCAACTGCTAGGTAGTGAAGTTCAAAGCGCACCTAAGGTGGTAGAGGAAGTAATCATTGACCAGGTATTCATGTGTGTCTCATTTGTACGCAAGGGTGCGTGTGTTACATGTGTATGTGTGGTGCACAAGTGTATGTGTGGTGCACAAGTGTGTTTGTGTAGATGCTTGGTTTTGAGTATGTACACATATATAGCTGATGTTGTTGGGCGTAACTGGACTGTGCTGCAGACTAAAGTGTATGCTGCCAACACCGAATTGCGAATGAACACTGAGTTAGTATGTGCCCAAGATGCACTGTACTGCAAACCTGAAAGAATGGTCGTTAATTTGCTCATTAGGTCCTTTCCGCTTCGCTGCCAAATGCTCTGCACTATACCTACTCTTGCTACAGTCATTCTTCGACTTATCTAAATATGTTTTACGGGAATTTATAGGAATCACTGGTTGATTTTGAGCGCTTCGAACGCGTATACTACAAACTAGCAGAAAATAATCTGCGAAAAGCGTGTTCACCCGCATTTGTCTTCGCTGAGATCATGACTGTGCTTAAGGGCCGGGCCGGCCTGATGGGGGAGCCAAATGCCAATTGGCTGATGTCCAAGGACGAGTATATCAACATACAGCAGGAGAATGATTCAACTCTCCGGTTCTTGTATGTGTCTCGTGTGTAGTGCCGGTACTCTGTGTGTGACATGTGGTACAATGTTTGTGGTCCGTTCTTGCGGAAAGAAGTCATCGTTTGGCATTCGATATCACAACATGTAAGACAGTCGAATACCGCTATGTTCGCATGCTGTCTTTACTGGTAATTAGTATGTCAACATAGGTTCGGCCTCGCAGTGTTCGTAGTGGTACAATTATCCCCCGATATGCGCCCTGTATTTGACTGTGAGTTGCCTGCTTTCATAATTCGGCTATTCCATGAGACTCGCAGACCGCATATCGACCCGTTTCAGCCGACAGAGATCTGGCCCTTTTTATTGATAGTCTTGCGCATGTACGTGAAATGAAAGAAGTGTGCTTGGTATCGGTCTGTTCGTTCCTGCGTCATCCGGCACATTGAGCGACAACTGCTCGTGCCATTCGCTGCGAGGTTATGCAAACACCTCAGCCAACTCTACGCGCTAGTACATCCCGATTTGCTAAGTTGTCAACATTCAAGCACAACTTCAAGCTGCAATGAAGTATATTTATGGTCATTCACACCACATTTAACGAACTCTATCATGCGCAGCAAAGATCGACGAATCATCCTCTACGCATTCTTCCAAAAGTATGAGAAAGAGAGGCTGGCGAATAAACACATTGATGTACCATCGATAGTGCAGAATCTGATGCAGCGATCGCGCCAAGCAACACTGCCAACGTTCAAGGGGTTGTATGTGGATGAGGTAAGCTTACGTATTGTCCCTGTATGCGTCTCTTGTGGCAGTGCTAGACGTTTCAAGTATATGTGAGTATATACGCGCGCTTTCAAAAACGGATACATCAATAATATAGCGTTATCGGCGATGTATTGAGACGTTCACTAGTGTAAAACAGGTACTGTGACTGCAATTATATATCCTGTCTTTCTGCCAATTGATTGTCTCAATAAAACATGTAGAGAAATGATGAAGCAATACTCGTAGTATTCTAGTGAAGCATCGCATACAATTATCGATCAAATTACACACCCAACACAACCTTCACTGTATTTGTGATGGTGCCGCAGGTGCAAGATCTTCTGCCGTGCCAGTGGCAGCTCTTCAAGCGTCTGAAGAATCAGCACACCGACTTCATGTGTGGCGGTGATCAGGCTCAAAGTATCACAGGTAAGTTCTGGCATTACATATTGCGCATACTACTTTCTCGGTGTGTTCCTTTTGCTGTGCATTTTCGTTTGTGGAGGAACATCATTATTTTTCAAAAGAAGGCGTTTTGGATGATCTCCGTCCTGCATTGCGCCAGACTATATGGTCGTTCCGTTTTGACTGACCTATATTCGTCCAATCAAACACCAGAAATTTTTTATGTACGCACAAAAACTACATGAAAATGACAATTTTACTAAATTGGATACAATCCAAACCTGACACCTGAAGGCAATCCGATACTTATTTTGTATCGCATACACAGCTGGAAATCGGTTCCGATTTAACCATTTGAAAGCGTTCATGTACGACACGATGGAAACACGCGACGGCAAGAAAAGACCAGATGCGATTGCATTGAAGAAAAACTACCGCACATTTGATCCAGTGCTGCAGTTTGCCAATAAGGTGCTCGATATGCTCCGCTATTTCTTCCCCAAAGATGTCGATTCTCTAACTGAGGTAAATAAATATATTTTTCGTTTTACTGGGATTTACTTTTCGATTGACATTCGTGCACTCATTTTTCTATCCAGTTGACTGTTCACTTTTGTACGAGGACTCTTATGCCCCCTATTCTCAGGCCTTCGTTTACAGCTGGTAGTTATAGCACACTACAAGTACTTCTATGAACTTGTATTCACGTGGTCAACTGTGTACGTACGTTGCCTTGGTTTCTTTGTGCAGGGGGTTCCGTGCGTATACGCAAGCACCTGCGCGGCGTTCTTCATGGGCAGTGTTTCGAAAGCCGTACATGCTATATTGAGTATTGATACCGCGTGTATGAACGTATATGTTACATCTCACATTCACAAGCGCACCTCACACCTCCTGTTAATGCGCGTGTATTCCCTACCCTATGGTAGGAGAACGGAAAGCCGATAGACGACCCCAACGCTAGACCAAGATTGCTAACAGACAGTATCAAAACTAGTTTAGATTATCCCTTCTACGGTGCAGACCACTTGGGAGCCAATCAAGTCATTCTGGTACGCGACGAGAAGGAGAAGGCCGATCGGAAAGCGAGACTGGCGAGTAACATGGATGCCTAGGGAATGCCAGACCCTTATCTGCCACTGTGTTCACTATTTTGGAATCTAAAGGTACGCACATGCGGTGTTTCGGGCTTAGATATGTATATGCTGAACAGTTTGACTATAAGTATTATCGGTACTATTTTCTTCTATACGTAACATGACGGTGAGTCGTCTCCGCACTTTCTTAGACCCTTCACAATACGTCGGTACTATGAAAGGTTAGTCAGCTACTCTCAGCCTATGGGCATAGTGCGAGTTGCTGTGAAAGCCTTGTTTACCTGCTTGTGAGTGCTCGAGTCATCATGAGTCTGTCTTGAACTGAGGTTTGATCTGGTGTACAGCCAACCATCACATGCAAACATCACGTGCACAGGCTTGGCTCTAATCCGCAGCACGCTTATCACGAACGAGCATCACGCACTCACATTGACATGAAATTATAGGGTTGGAGTACCGGAACGTTGTACCATATAACGTATTCAAAGCCAACCCGTTGGGGAAGAGTATCCGTGTGCTGTACAACTACAATACGGAGGCGGCGGGCAACACAAAATTCACTGCCTTTGACGACGTGAAGCACTTTGCACTGTGCCAGATGCTGAAAGAATTGTATGTGGGTATCACGCGCGCCAAGGAAAAGGTGGTGTGTGTGGATGATAGAGACGCATGTGATGATGATGAGCCCCAGATATATGCCGATGTGTTCAGTGATATGCTGATATCATCAGAGGTATGCATACTTTTTGGGGATTGTCGATATTTGCGGGAAGTAGTAATTACAATCGAAAAGAGCGCTGTGAGCCTATGTCCACGCGGTTTATGCACACCGTAAAGTGACTAGAGTCTACGAGCATCTGTGACATGATACCCAGCCGTCAACGAGGATAGAAGATACATATCGGTAATGAACAACAGTCCTTGCACCGTTTCCTCACCATTCTTGCATGCCAGTTGATTTGGACTTGAATAGGGTTTCCTAAGATCTGTCGCAAGAGCATATAGTCAGACAAGTCAGCAATTGCAACATATTGCCTAGAGCTTCCGTGGGAGTTGTGCACGGGTGACTTCGAACCAACCATATGGTTTCCACTAGTAATAGCGATGGTGTTTATAGAGTGCGAATTTTGTTTTTCGGTTGTGCATGGCGGTGTGTTTGGTTGTGGTAATTAGTAAAGTAGTGGCCCAAAATGTATGGCATGCGCTCTTTCACATCAACGTGCGTGATAACATAGCGTGTACTAATCTCTCCAAACTAACAACCCAATTTTTTGTCCCTACCACAGTCCAAGAATGAGGTAGAATTTACGCGGTCATCCACAAGGGAAGAGTGGGCCCTCCGAACTAAGGCGTTGCAAAACCAAAAGATGTTTGAGGAGGCCGCGATTGCCTATGCACGCGGGTCGCACCCCGAGAAAGTCGCGGAGATGAAGGCGCTGCTTGCAAGGAGAGCGTACAAGGATGGAGGTTCGTGTGCACAAATGCTTTGAGCTTTGGTAGCGATTTTTTTTTGCGTTTTTGCATGCGCCCCGCGTGGCCCAATGCTTGCTGTCGAGCCTATGCATTGCAAGTGCCTTTATGGGCTTCTCGGCATTGTTTTATGTATAAGATACGTTCATCAGTTCCAGGATTTTCCCGATCGGAGTTGCGCAATTTAATGTACATCAAAAATGTGTGAAAACATCTTTGGAATTCTTATGATTGTGCCTATGAATACTGGAATCTATTCAATACGCCAGTTCACAACATGTGTTGGTAGTATATGAATGTTGATTCCTATACGAAAGTACGGCCTTCTCCCTTATTACTTTTCACTGTTTATCTGTTGTGTGATGCATAGCTGTGTGAACAATTGCGAGCGTGAGCCTAATCTCTGTGTTATTAGGGTCTATCTAGTGCTGTGCCATTAGTACCAGCCAATTTCTTGTCTGTGCCCTCTTAGTGAGTATAGTGATTGTTGAAGGCTGCTTCTCCGAGATGCTTACATCCTATGAACCCCAAGCATACTCTTACCAGGGATTGCGGTTTCCTCTCTCGCGAACAGGGTCATGAAGACAGCTATGCCCCTACTGATGTATTTATTTCCTTTAGGTGACACATCCAAGCTCATAGAGGCAGCGGAATTCTACGAGGAGGCAGGCATGGCAGGGCAGGGCGCTGATCTGCTACGCGATAACAAATTCTACGAAGAAGCGGCAGCCATGTATGAGAAACTTGAAGGTAGGTTTTCGGTGAAGTTAGCTGAAAGTTCGGTCCAGGAGGGGGTTTGTAAACACACCGGAACATTGAGAACTCAACGTTCATAGATATATCAGAGTGGTAACTCATTATCTATTGATGACAGCAGTGAAGGTCTGTTAACAGCGTAATAGTCGAGAATCAGAAGTACTTATATGCACTGATGTGCATAACAGTTAATTCTTTAAAATCTGATATGTTGATATTGAATGTACTCACAGGTAGAGGTAAAGAGACAGTGACATGTTACTGGCAGAGCCATCAGCCTCTCAAGGTGTATACAGCCCTCGAGAAAAACCGCCACGCCTACGAGAAAGTGGCCGATTTGGACAACATGTACATCGAATTGGCTCCAGTACTATTCCAGAAAGATGAACCTGATCTGGGCCTCAAGTGCATCACTCGTATATCCGACACGGACTCCAATATAGATCGTGTGTGTCCCATCTTAGAAGCAGCAGTTGCCGAAGAGGTAAGTGTACGTCCTGCGTAAATGCACATATACGACTTGTTTGGTGTTTGCCTTTCAATCAAGTACTATAGGGGCGTGTGTACTTCATTCTGAGCAGATGTGGGTGTTTCTGCAGAGTAGCAACAAGATCCTACGTGGAGAAACAGTGTGTGTCTATAATTGCTGATATATCATTTTCTCAATGTAAAGCCTGCCTGCCTTGTGCATTGATCTGTGGTTAATATACGATGAGTTCCATACGCAATAGCTCACATATGTTCACGAGCGCTCAACGAGTAGTTCCCAACCTACAGTATCGTGTGTCTGGGTAAGTGTGTATCGTATACCTGCGACTCCCGGGTCCACTGGCGTGTTGCTTGTATTGAGTTGTCAACTACTGAGATTGTACAAGTGCTGACCAATTGCATACGGGGGAGTGAATAGCTTTACAACCGAAGTCTCAGCCGATAATTATTCTTGGTTGTACTATGCAACTTAGCAGCAATTGCCACTCTGCATGCGTACTTCGTGCTCATACCGATAAGGCCTGGAACAGTATTTCAGCAAACTTGGCTTGGAAATCTTATCTCTCAAATATGCTTGATTTATTGATATTTGAACATCTGCGCTGGAGTCCACAAAAGCGGAAAATGCTACTAGCCAGGGGACGAAGGGTAAGAAGGGCAAGAAGGGCAAAAAAAGGTAAAATCAACCTCGACAACAGCTCTCGGGATGTCTCAAGGTATACAGAGACGCCGATTATCCGTAGGCTCGTGGATATATACAGTGCATGGCACCGTGTGGATAGAGGCGTGGCCTTTTTGACACGTCAGAGCAACTACTGGGGCGTCGACGAGATGTTGTGTGCTACGGCCCCTACGTCTTTCGGCGGAGTGAAATGGAATAAGACTGTACAGTTGTCGGAACGGCTTGAGGCGGTAAGGTAGTTGTATTTCTGTTAATTATAGATATGTACGTGCGACTGGTGCAAGTGGATATGTGGGTTGGGTAGAGAAGGTTGAAATGGGAAAATCATCAATGCGTAAAGTGTGCATAAGCTGGATTGGATATCGTGTTTTTTTTTACTGGGTTCCGATGACGATGCTTCGTTATTACTGCGAGACATCGGTAATGGAGTGGGTGGAAAGCTATTTAGCAAAGTGTCTTGGGACATTGCATGTCTGTGTCTGCCACTTTATCATATTTGCACGAGTCAAAGCCGGGTACAAGCTTGGGCTCAGCAGTGCGCTAATGCAAATAATTCAAAAGATCGCATCGGATCAGACAGCAGTATATGACAAATTGACCCACGTCTCGACACGACTCTTATCATATTGTATCGGTATGTACTATATAGCTCACCGAACAGCAGCGAGAGAATTTTTGAGTGATTGGTCAAGCACAACAACGGATCCTGCTACACTATTCCAGTACTGCCTTGCGAACGGAGCTTCGAAAGAAGTTGAAGATGCGCAAGTACTTTAAGGATACTGAAAATCTACTATCCGATACTATGCGGGAAGTTGGGGTGATGGTTCGAGCGATCTTACCACGCCATGGCGCGGCTATTGATTATATCACCAATACCTGGTGCAACCCGGTTGAAATCGCGCTGTATGTATTATGCGTGGATACCTTTGTAAACACCGATCAGCATGTGTAATCTAAATTAAGTTTTGCTTGTCTGCGCTTGCTGTCTGCACTTATTTGTGCGACAAATTCAAGTCGAATTCGTTTCCTGTGTGTTTGGGGTGTATATGGACCTGTGTACGTAGAGCTGGTTTGACTTCTCATCTGCTACAATCGCCACCGTGCTACTTGACTGGAAGAATTCCACCGCCCCATTTGTGCAGTGCGCAGTACCGAACAATGCACCGCGATATTCAGTACATTTTCAAAAAGCACCGTCTATTTCTTAGTTTCTGCTGAATAGATATGTCTTTAGAATCTATTTACACAGTGCTCGAGTCTGAACCATGCTTTGGTGTCTATATCTGAATCTTTACTGAATTAATGACAGCCACGCATCTACCGTGTTAGTCTAAGTCTGAGGTAAAGTCAAATGCACACAATTGCGCAGGTCGTATGTCGACCCGAAGGAGGCTATAGGTATCGAAAGCCGACCCCTTATGCATCTGATGTCGACTCTGCTGCTGTACGCTGTGGTTGTCATGTGCCTCAAAATAACTCGGAATGGCAATAGCAAGCTAGGGGCGAAGGAGTTGATTCCGGCTTTCATCCAGAGAACTAACTCCGTTATTCTTTGGGCAGACCTGTTTCACAAGCACACCTGTGCTTCGCGTCTGGCGGTATTTAATAAGGCATCGGTGGCCATACTGCTGCACGCAGCTATGGCGGAAAATAAGCAATACGGTTTTGCGACACAGGCTTGTTATTTCGTTTCCGTGCATCTTTTCGAGAACGGTTTTGATTGTGAAAAGGAGGGGTTACATGTACCTCCTCATCCATGGATATGCTATCTGTGAATGATGATATCTGCGTGCGTCTAATGAAGAGTGTAGATTCTGTGTGTGTTTGAGAGTGCTCATCATGTGTATACATGCACGAATTCTGTGTGAACATCAATTATGTGTGTACATTCAAACGAATGATATCAAGGGCACAGTCAGTGTGTGTACAGATAAGTGATTATATGTGTGGCAACATATGTTAGTTTGAGTATGCTTATGATAGAAATCATAGACCTGTGTACTAGTATATGTCTGATGTGGCATAAAAATATGTATTTATAATTCAGCGATTTCGTGGTGACATAGCAGTTTGTAGCGTGTGGCATATAATTTTATAATCGCAAGCGGGCCCTCAACCACATAATACTCTGGCGGGTGGTTGTACACTATGTGTTCATACCATTTACCATTTCAGCGTATTGGAGGAATGAAGTTGGACATCAGCTGTCATGAATAGTGTGACATGTGTCTGCTGTCACGTATTCTGTGTTAAGTGCATGCCAGGGTTTATTTTGGTATCATTCATGTAACCATGACTTCGATATATTGTAATAAAAGTGTAAAAGTATACCTGTCTCATTGGTGCCAGACTCTCCCTACTAACCGTTCTGCATCATATTTTGGGGTCGGGGTAATGCAGATTCACGGGATATATTCTAACGACAAGCGACGAGGCCTCGGAATCTTACTAAAAGCCAAGGAGTATCTACGTTGTATAAAGGCTGTCAAATATAAATGTGACAACCGGGGTATCAAGGCAGCAGAAGCGAGTGACTACTATCGTGCTGTCCTTAAGGCATATTTCTACGAAAACAAAGACTGGTGGACATGGAATCAACACGAGGATCTTCTATTGGCATTCCCTCCCGAGGTATGTATTGATGTGAGACTGATACTTAGTCCCAAATCAAACAAATAGGCACTTTGACACCGATTTTTTTTGTACAGCTGAGGTCATATACCATCCTACTTTACAGTGCGACGATTTTGCAGTGACTTTTATGGAGACCATGGCGACGGGCGAAGCTAAGATGCACCAGCTCAGACATACCAAGGCCGCCCTCAGAAAATTGTACGAGATCAAGAATATGCAGAACCGGGGGTTGCAGTTTTTTGTCAAGCACAAAGCATATAAGACTTGCTGCAATTTGTTGACGTCCATGCCATTAGCTAAGCGGTGTAACTCTGAACCGGAGCTACTGGATGTCTTACGCTTATCTCAGAGCCGATTGGGTGAGAGACTTTACAAGAAACACGATAACATTAAACCTAATCCTAAAGTCAAAACGCTGGTATGTGCCTTTAATTTTATTTGTATGTGATGTTGTGCAATGTGTCACTAGCTCATACATGGGTGAATTGTACTATTGGTCCTATTACAGAGGTCTGATCTGAACTCGTGCACGCGTACTTTACTAATGTTAGGTTGCTTTGTACATTGTTAGATAGTCGCAATATTGCTCAGTGATGACTCTCTGATACTCACTAGAATTGACAGATATTCTACCCACAACTATGCGAACGTGCCCGCTGCTATATTTGAAATCAACCCGTTAAAGCTAACGAGATTGCGCATTTAATTATGTATCCAGTGGAAGTATATTGAACGCATGTGCTGGCTTCGCCTGAGTGTGCTTGAAAACACAATGCCGTCATTCAAATTATATCGAGACTACGTGTTGGAAACCTGGCTGAACGACACCCACCCTGATTGGGAGAGTTGGCTAGCCGAAAAGCAATTTGTGTCACCTCAAAATTTAGGAGTGAACGTGAGAAGGTGTGTTGTTTAGCTATCGAAGGCATCGTGGCTGCTGCAGTCCGTTATGTCGCATATGTCGATACACTGCAACTTGTATGTTTTAGTTATGTGTCCCGTAAAGTTCCTCCTTGTCTATTTATTATGAAAAATTGAACGCAGGAGATGATTTTCTCACCTTTTGGTTTTGGTTTTAGTATTATACCCAACGCACATTTCGTACTGTATAGCGTGGAGTATGCGCGTGAGTATATATATATATATATATATATATATATATATATATATATATATATATATATATATATATATATATATATATATATATATATATATATATTATATATATATATAT